AGTAGACTACAAAAATCTTTCTGAACTTTATCAATAGCATTAAGATTTCATTAGTTTTGATATCTGCTAGAACTTAGGTACTATCTAACTAAAAAGAAAGAGTATATGATTTGGTTGAAAAACGACGTATATAATATTTGAACTTAAAGTGCATTGATGCGTCACTTGGTGGTCTAGTTGATCATTTCGTTGCGATTGGTATTAAGAAATCACAATGAAATATACTATCCAAGAATTATTCTCTTTCGTTCTCTACTATATTTACCGACTAAGAACGTTTATTTCATCAAATACAAACATGAATTTATTGAACATCACTAAACATCTTTTCCATTTGGCTCAAACTGAATATGGATTTGAAAATTCTACAACAACTACTGACGAAATTTTTACTGCAGAACGATTATTCGAAGTTCTGAAGTCATTTAAAGATAGTTACTTCAATGAGCTATATACTTATGACACTCTCGAATTTGAAGATGAATATGATGAAATCACTGATGAAAAAGAAAGCGACGATGAAATTGATGAGAATGATCAATTTTATTTAAAAAAACGTTTTACACCAGAAGAAATGGAAAATATAATTGAATGGGTTGACCAACATCCGAATGCTAGATTTGCAACTATTTCCAATCAATTTAGAAAAATCAAACATAGGAATTATATTACAAGATTTAGAGAATATATCGAAAATGATGGTACAAGATTAGAAAAATTAAAACAAATTAAAGAATTTATGTTTAACGAATTTTATTTCAAAAGAACCATTGAAAAAGAAGCCATTCGTGATGCTGATCTTGAACGTTATGCAATTCAAAAAGCAAGAGAATTAAATTGGGATGAATTCAAGGCAAGCAAATCATTTATCAATACTTTTAAAAGGGAAAACAGAATATCATCAAGAAGATATAATAAAATTGTTACTCGAACTAAATCAAACAGGAACATTTGCAGTTTAAATAGTATTTAAACTTTTATTTACGCTTTAGATAGTTTGTCTTCATAGGATATATATGTATTTTAGATGCTCAGAAGGAGGTCAGAAGTAAAAGATCTTTAATATCAAATTATTCTACAAGTGAAATTTTAAACAGCAATCATTGTTCATTTCAACAGGAATACGTTCCTCCAAGAACTCTTTCTTTTACTGGAGAAAGAACAACAGAAGTGGCTGTTAAAAAGAAATATAATACAACCCATTCTTATACAGTTCAACCAGTTACATCAGCTAATGGCCCTTTATTAGAGAAGTTCTTACACATCCTTCAAGAAAAAGAAAATACATTCGGTGAAAGAGTGGAAAAAGATTTAATTGTACCATCAAATGTTGTAGTTAAAGCTTCAAAGTCAGGAAAAAGTAGGGATGAAAAACATCACGTGTTTTTAAATGAAGTTCTACGACCTTTGGTTGGTAAAAAATTTCTTCTCTTCCTTGATTCTTGGAAAACTCAGGCTGATCTAACAAAATTTAGAGCAGCATTTCCTAATCAAGATAGTCAATTATTGATTTTTCCTGAAGGATGAACTGGTTATATTCAACCACAAGATCTCTCTTTATTTCGTTCCTGACGATATATTCATGAAAAAATCGAACAGAAATCACTATAACTGATCGTCAAAATTTCATCAACATGCATTCTGTTATTCACAATCAATTATCAGCTCCACAATTTAAAGATCTCATTAAGAGTGGATTTAAACAAGCTGGAGTAATAAATGAAACAATTGGAGAGATTAACAAATCCAAAGATGTTTGCTTCCAATTTTACAACCTATACTGTTCAATTAAGAATTGCAACGAATGAACACTATTGATGTGCGCTTGGTGCAAAAAAGTTCTTTGATACTATCATCTGATTGAAGATCTACATCTGCACTTATAATACATTTGTTAAAATAGTATGCTATACAATGTATTGTTTTCAGTTGAAATAACATCGAAACTATTTATGACTTAAAGATTATGATAACTATTAACTGATCTTTATCTATACTGATACCACTTAAGTTTAAACAAGACATCGAAACTAACATAATCTTAATGCTATTGATAAAGTTCAGAAAGATTTTTGTAGTCTACTATTGAAATACTCAGTTGAGCGTATAGAACATTAATGTAAATAATTCTAATATACTTGTACACCCCAACTACTAATACCGTAAAAATTGAATATCTCCCTCAGGGTATGCCAACAGCAGCTAATAATTTAACCTTGTTAGTTTGACGGTGAGAGCTTTCATTTGATGCCAAAATATCAAGTCTAGCTCGGTTACAATACAAACACCTCCATTGTCAGTAGCGTTTAGACAGTGTACACATGAAAATAGTTTTTCACACATTTATTAAAATATGTATTTATTGTTATTTAAAGTCTAGAAAATAATGAAACATAGTTTTCAATTGAATGTCCATTGTTTTATAAAGCACGAAATAGCCAGTCTTTTGTTATGAATCCATAGCCTGCAGCAAAAAGCATTCCTCCACCAAACATTCCTGCGGTTGCAATAAGAGAACCAATCAAAAGATGTGTGACACCTTTGAATAATGCACAAAAATGAAAACTATAAAAATATTAGAAAAAGTTAAGGTTACCAGAAATTCCTTGTCCACTTGTACAACCACCAGCACAACGTGCACCCAGTGATAATAAAAATCCTCCAAAGAAACTACTCCAAACACCTGCCCCATATTGTTCACTTAAAGGAAATTGATTTGTTGAAACTGTTGAAATAAAACTTCCTCCAATAGCTCCTAATGCGAATAATAATGCTAAACTATTTTGTACTCCATAAGCGAATGGTTCTAATGATGGTATTAATTTTTTAAAGAATCGCATACGACATAATTGTGCCACTAGTACAGTAAATCCAGTTGATATTCCTAATGATTTTTTAAATAACATCATGAAAAATAATTGTAATGAACCAATGCCAATACCACATAGTACGGGTGACCAACCTACTAGGCTATGAAGTCCCTTTGGTGTAACCAAATCACTTTTATAGGGAACAAAATGTTCAAGAACGAATGCCGTACCAATAAATATTGAACCAAACATAAAATTCAGGTAAATGCGTTTGATACCCGTTAATTCCGGAAGTTGTCGTAGAGCTATTGATGACTTTGGTACTTCATCTTTTGTTAGACGTTTAAAAAGAAATGCATAATAAAACAAAACTCCACAGATAGCACCAAGACATGTTATAAAAGAATTTTGCAGACCCGAGCCCCTAAGTACAAGAAAGAATTTCAACCTCAAAAATACATCCATGAAAATAAATCACTTACATTTGAACAAAAACCGTTCCTGGACAACTACCGGCAACAACCATACCCACTCCAATAAGAGTTCCACCCACAAGAAGATGAATACCTAAAGAAAATAATTGATATTTAAATTTAAACTGACTGTCTTTTCAAAAGAAAAATCTGTAAAACCTGATGAGTTTTCAAGGCGAAAACGCGATACTTCATACTTCACGTACTTTAAGATACTTTACCATACTTTAATTTACATCGCCGTACCCTACTTTATTTTACCGTATCTTACCGTACTTTAAAGTTCAAAAGTATCATATTTTTCCCTTGTAGATTTTTCTCTGTCAAAGCTGCAATTTGATATGATATCAGCTTAACTTCTTTTCTAACGAGGGAACATTCCCAAGTGATACGCTTCGTTTTGATTCATTCATATCTCATTCGATAGAGTATGTTGAAATAAGAAAAAGCCTAAAACGATTCGTGCTCTTCCTCTACTGGTGAAGAGTTGTGGCTGTTTTACTGAAATTTTTACTGTGAGCCAGGCATTTTGGAAAAACCCAAAACGAAGAGTTTCGAGCTGAAACTTTACCTATAGATAGTTTTTATTGTCATTAGATAGTCCTGAAAGTTTCAACGAAAATGAACATGCCTTTCTTGAGCTATTCAATTTTCAAAAAAACAGCTGTTTACCATAGGAGGGAACAAAAATCCACTTTAGTTGGACATTGAATATCTCGAGAAAGACACGTTCGTTTTCGTTAAAACTTTTAGGACTATCTAATGACCATAAAATCTATCTATAGGTAAAGTTTCAGCTCCAGACTCTTCATTTTGGGTTTTTCCGAAATGCCTGGCTCACAGTAAAAATTTCAGTAAAACAGCCATAACTCGTCACCAATCGAGCAAGAGCACGAATCGTTTTAAGCTTTTTCTTATTTCAACATACTCTATCGAATGAGGTATCAATGAATCAAAATGGAGCGTATCACTTGGGAATGTTTCCTCGTAAGTAAGAAACCAATTCGATGTTTACAACTAATAATCTTTTTTCTATGGCATATTAAATTTTGGTTTCCCAACTTTTTTTATGAAGTTAGTTTCGTTTGGGATCTAAACAACATTTTATGTGTTTTAATTTTGTTCAATGAAGCATACACTTTGCATCAGCAGAGTTCTTCTAATTCTCTATAGACTTAAATATTTCTCATTATGTAATTAAAATTATATCCATTCTATTTTCCAAGGTATGTTGTAAACAAACTATTTGACCAAGATGAGTAACCTGTCGAATTCTTTTAAAAGTTCGTAGTATATGAGATACTTTCGTCGATTAAAAGCTGGACTACTTCCTACACAATGGTTGGCACGCATCGACGATGAAAAGAAGGCGAGTTTATCTAGATAATATAGTTTATATCAATTGAATAATATAAAGTTTCACATCTACTCTCCAAAATGTTCAATCTTTTCTGAAGATCACACTTTCATATTTGAATACTATTAGACGTCTCTTTAGAAATTCAATAAAATTTCTTCGAGTCATATTCAATTAATTGGAATAAATATTTATGATTTTAAGTAATCGAAAGATGGTTATCGAAATTGCTGGTTTAAGAAAGGATGTGTCTATTTGTTGATTTCTTGAATGAGCTTAGAATCTAATATTTCATTTTCTTCATCTTATTTTGATCGTAGATTGTTTCTGAATTTAATCTCAGCATTTTGTCTTAGAAAAAGTGTTTGAATCACGATTACTATACATATATATATATATATTTAGAGTTTACCATGAATACGATTGTTGCGATGAATAAATGCATTACAAGTAGTTTGATAAGTTGGTTCACTAACAAGAATAACAATACATGAGCTTAACATTGATGCTCCAACAGCACCAAGAAACATTTTGATCATGGTAAAGCGTTTGAATAACATTTGATCTCGAATTATCGGAGCAAGATATACATTAGCTTTGTTCATTAAAATACCAAATGTAATGCCTAAAGCACTGGCTGAAACTATTTGAACCACATCTGTGATGCCATTAGATGATTTTGTATTTTTAGTTTTGTCAGATTTCCTAAACACAATCTAATCAGTGTAAATATCTTATTTTAAAATGAGCTATTTACTCAATGCTATTGGAATCATCGTTCGTAGACACATCTCGTCTATTGCGATTTATTATTTGATCATCGGTCATGACTTGTCAGTTGAATATTTGCTTGTGAAAAATATTCTGAAGAAAAAGAGTCAATGTACCCAACTTTGTAAAATGAAATTTTTTTTGTTCGCAGCGGACAAATGTCACTGAAACATTATCTCACGTGCTTTTTATACAAAACAGAACAAATAAAACATCCTCTCTCTCCTTCTATATAAATATATATGTAAGCGAGCAAATACACGATACATAGAGAAGAAACAAGCGTGACTCATCATTCTGTTTGCTAGCCACCAATAAAAGGTAACGTTGTTTTTTATTTGAAATATCTATAGAACATGAAAAAAGAATTATTATATCTACCGAAAGCCGTGTTTCTTATCTACATAAATGATATCTGAATGTTGTACAAGAAAATAAATAAATGAAGGAATAACAAATTATCATTAGATAGAGTCGCCATCTAGTTACTTTGGCTGATAATATATCACATTATTGATCCAAGTATTTTATAATAAGCATCCTATTGTAAATGAAGTATGAA